CACCATCTCCATACAGGACATCAGTATGAAATGATTGGCTTCAATGTCTGATTGAGCTGCCATTATTTGCTCAATCGACATCATAGGAAGGTTGGGAAGAGTAGGAGTCGGGGCACTTGGCCCAACAGCACTTACAGGATCATTCAAGTCCGGAAAGAGAGTAAGGGGACGGGACGAGGCCATGTAATAGGAGAGAGAGATGTAATCGAAAGGAGGGTCATTTTTGGCAGCCTTTTTGCTCTGCTCAGTCTCTTTGTTCTATCTCTCTCACGCATAAGAAGAAAGAGATGGAAGCTCATGAGGAAGAAGAAGGCAAAGAGAGTGATTAAGACGAAGATAGAGGAGAAGAAGACAAGAGGGAGAGAGAGCCGAGGCAGCTGATTGACTCGTCTCGCTTTTGTCGGTCGGCTGATGCAAAAGTGAGGCCGCGTGTCCGACGTGATTTTCGATGGAAAAGAGAGACGTGGGCGAATCATATATATATATATATATATGTATATATATGTTTTGATTATCTATTTTTTTATGCCATTTATCACTATCATTTTCCTCCTCCTCTTCATCCTCCAGATTCTGACCCATGCTTTCCTTTTGATAATGTCATAGGGGGAGAAAACTTATGATGTTATGATGTTATGTATTATAGTATTATTTTCAAATTATGGTATTATTTGAAAACTAATCTAATGATTATGTATTTATAGTTTGATATCTAAGTCTCATATCATGTCTCTAATTAAACCTTATTTATTACACATGTGCTAACCTATGTATTTAGAAATGAATTCAGGGAGCATGACTTGAGAGTGAGCTTTTCTTACTCCCAAATCAAATCAAAACATCATTGCGTGCCATCATAAAAAAGGATAAATTGTTAGACTTATTTATTTTGATGATTTATTTAATTATATTTTAATTTATTTGAAAAGAAAAATAGAATCCAAAATTTATTTTGATGATTTATTTAATTATGTTTTAATTTATTTGAAAGAGAAAAATAGAATCAAAATTTATTTTGTCCCATTATTTCTCACTTAAACTTTTATCCTAAATATTGTTTGAATGTATTTAATATTTGCTTAAATCAAGAATTCATTTCAACCCAAAAATAATGCCCAAACCAGAGGTTCAAACAGCCCAAAACAAAGGTTCAAACAGCCCAGTACAACAGCAGGCCAAAAGGTTCAAATAGTCCAACACAACAGCAGACCAAAATGTTCAAACAGCCCAGCGCAACAGCATGCCAAAAGGTTCAAGTAGAAGATATTCAAATTAGTAATGATGGAGTGGAAGATATTCAAATGAATACAACGGCTCTAAACGGCTATAAATTCAAATGAATACAACGACTATAAGTTTCATTATATATACCAAAGCCTCTAATGTAAACAAGTTACAAAAAACCAAAAAATATTTTTTGATCTATAATCATTCACATCTATTCTTTGAAAAATTCTCTGAGAAGTGTTCTGCAATTTTTGTTTACATCATCTTTCAAAAATTATACACTAGGACGTATAGCTTTAAGCCCATCTTTCTTGTGTAAGGTTTATAGAAAAACCAGAGCTTCATTTTTATATCTATCTTTGAGAGATAATTCTTGCAACTTTCTGTGAAAGCAAAAACACCTACTTTTCAACCTTGTAAGAGTGTAATACATTTAATGTTCTTGACTTAGAAAGTCTGTGTAAAATCTGTAGAGGATTGCTCCATCTGTAAAAAGGTTGTTAGCACCCTGTGAAGCTAGAAAATAGTGAAGAATCTCAAGTGAAGCTTGAGGAGTGGACGTAGGCCGAGTTGAAACCGAACCACTATAAATTTGTTTGCATCTCTCTCCCTTATCTGTTTATTTTATTGAAATTGTCATATCTATATTTTATATTTTTATTGTGCTAAAATCATTAATTGACATAGTTGTTAGAACACTTGTTTTAATTATTTTTATTTCATCAACTATGTTTATCTATTGTGCTAGTCATAATTTTTATTAGGGTATTATTATTTTTATTTGTAAAATCCTAATTCAACCCCCCTCTTAGGTTGTCTTTTAGGTAACAACTATAATTGACACAAGGATAATATACTAATTGTCTCTGATTAATTTAGAGATATTATCATGCAATCTTATGATTTCCTTTAATCACACTCGATCTCTCTAAATCTTCTTTTAAGAATCTCGCAAGGCTTAAGGTTGTCAGTTGGAACAACATTATTGTTGTCACCTCTTGAAGCAATTTCTGAAAAATCACAACAGAATTTCATTATTCTGTTTTTCTAGAAACTAAACTTAACACTAGAAAATCCACAGTTAGAAATTTAATTGAAAATTAGTCTCACCACTTAACCTAGAATCGAACATGATCAAGAATGTTCTCAGGAAAACTAGAGGGGTCACATCAGTCCCACTTAAAACCCAGTTAACCTTTTGACAAAACTTTCAAGAGCATGTTGACTCCTAGTCCATGGGAAACAAATTTAAAATTAATTTTTCTAGGAGATAAACCAGGTTATAACAAATCAATTATCGAGCAAATAAAATTTGCTACCAGAATTATACCACTCATAAAAGTTAACCGGTACTCTCGGAACTAAGTCCATTATTTTTGAATAAAATCAAAAATATTTTAGCTAATGCTAAAATTTGGTTTCTTTTTTCAAACCAAAACACTTTGAAAATAATCAGATTATAACCAAAAACTTACTCCAAACTTGGTTTTCCAATACTTTGAGAATAAAATAATTAAACCCAAAGACTTCCTCAAACCCTAAAGGTTTGAAACCAAATCCGTCTTAGTTGTCATTTCTAAACAAATAAGAACTACTCTTTAGCCAAGGCTAAACACTTTGGTTTCTATTCCAGAAAACCAAACAAAGTTCCAAACTTACAAGCAATTTTAAATTGCTAACCAAATTACAAGCAATGTTAAAAATTGCTACAACCAAATACACGCATATAAAATTCTTCTAACAATACAAGTAAATAAAACTTACTACTACAAATTGTTTTAAAAATTTACTGTTGTTAAAAATGTACAATTAAACAAAATAAATAGATTCATGATTTGTTAAATTAAATAATAGAACACCAAATAAATCCATATTACATTGTAGAGCATAATACAAAAATACATATCATATAATTTACTGAAAGACGAGGAATCAAACCAAATTTTGTGTGGTACCATAATGTCCTTAAAACAGATTAGCCGTCTTACCGTGAGTGTGGGAGGAACGTCTTCTTCTGTCTCCCAGAATAAGATGGCTTAAATCGACTAACTTAGAAGCACCTTCAGTTAGCTTGGTGAACTAACAATGGCAACACTCTCTTTCACATAGGAAGGATTTTATAAGAGCAAGCAAACTGACTATATGATTGGAAGGCAAAATATTCTGTACCAAACCAAGGGAGATGAGTCTTCTCTTATACACAATGGGGTCTCCAGCCATTAAGGCTGGCCACTAATGGCAGCCATTATTCCTGCAAAATTGTTGGAATAATGCACAAAATTGATGGGAATTTAAAATGTGAGTTACACACAATAAACACATATGTATATATACATTTCTACAACAGATTTGGGCCTGCTGCAATAGACCTAGCCCAAAAAGAATAAGTTGGTAGACCACCAATCTGGCGCAGCCCAAACCTAATCCATTTCCTTAAGCCCAAACACACAATATATGTGTGTATACATTTCTGTAACAGACTTGGGCCTGCTGCAATATACCTAGCCCAAAAAGAACAAGTTGGTGGACCACCAATCCCAGCCCAAACCTAACCCATTTCCCAAGCCCAAGATCCACGGACTCGGATCTGGCCCGGTCTAGGTCGGGCAGGCAGCATGTGGCAATTTTGCCATAACTAACTTGGACCATAGTCATGGCCCAAGCCCATCCTTAAAGCATCCATGCCTCCTTTCCTTCGAAAAATTTGGATGCCCCAAAGGGCTCATGCCTTTCTCATAATCTTAAGGCTTAAATACCCATCAAAGTTTTTCTCTACAATCAATGTGGAATTGGCAGTTATACACAATTCCCAATACCTCATTTATAAGGCCATATTTATGAGACAATTTCTTATTTAATTCTCAATGGTTTTTAGTCATTCTTTATGTGGTGTAAAGATCTTATTACAAAGAATTTAAACCCATTTAATTCCACCTCAACCAATAGTTGGGACCACTTTAATTTTATACTAAAGTTTACCAAAACCCATTTTTTTCCAACATTTACATTGGTAAGCACCTTCTCTTCCGGTCTAAAACTTAAATATTGAGTAATGAGTTCATAGCACCCCTCTTAACCAAAAATCTACTAATCATATATGAGCAATGCTAGATATCATGAAAAAACTTTCATGAAAATGATCATGAAAGATTTATGACCTTTGGATAACACTTGAAATAAAGCACCACACACTAATCAAGGTAATCCAAAAGTCATAAATCTTTCATGATCATTTTCATAAATTTTTTTTTCATGATCCCTAGTTTTTCTCATCATATATATATGACCTCCTGCTGCCTAATTAAATTAATAACTGAAATAGCCGAAGAAGCGCTTTATGTATCATGTCATCACCACAGCAGTAGTTATTAAGTTTGACGCCACCTGGGAATTTGAACCATTCTTCTTCTTTAAAAGGAGTCCCCTTTTGTTTGTTTTCCTCCCACTGCTTACCATTCCTTTTTCCAGTTGTAACTTTTTCAATATTAGCATGGAATGCATTTTAATTTTGATTTTGAGCTTGGCCATCAATATAATAAACCAGTAATTATTATTAACTCATTAAAGCAGAGAGCCTCCAAACACTGCGTTGTGTTATTAATTAGTAATTAATGGCTATATTAGTTTGTTTGTTTGCCTCCCACATTGCAACCTCAAAGGACGTGGCACATTTAATCTAATAATATGATAATAAGAGTGGTACAACATAACATTGATACCATACATACAACACATCACACACATGTATATGTCCAAAAAGTTACTACAATAGATAGAAGAAGATCAAAACATCAATGAGCTTTGTTTGAGCTGTTATCTTGCTATTCAAAATATTCATTCAGATGAAAGAAGTCATCTAACCATTACCAAATGCAGAAACCAGAATATTTTTTTTTTCCTTTTTTTGACAGACATTTCACCAATCTTTTATCCCAAAGATCAAAGTCAACCTAAGAAACAAAATAAAAAAAAAGAAGGTTGGAAAATAGTATTTATATCAAAGCTGAAGCCAAAAAACCATGAAAAGAAAGAAAGAAAGGGGAGAGAGAGAGAGAGAGAGAGAGAGAGAGAGGGAGGGAGGTCTAGATGAGTGTGGTTTGGCTAGGATGAAGAGGTCATGTGAAGTGCTACCAAGGAGGCGTAAAAACCATCAGTGATGTTGATGAGAGTCTCATGCCTTCCCTTCTCTACGATCACACCATTCTTCACCACCGCTATTACATCTGCATTCTTGATTGTGGACAATCTATGTGTCACTACCACTGTTGTCCTATTCACCACCACTCTGTCTAATGCATCTTGAACCACCCTCTCCGACTCTGCATCCAGCGCACTTGTTGCCTCATCTAGCAGTAGTATTTTCGGACTTTTCACCATTGCCCGAGCTATGGCCACCCGTTGCTTCTGCCCCCCTGACAATTGCACTCCTCTCTCTCCTACTACCGTCTCATACCCCTGCCCAAAAAATTAACACCACAAAAAAAATCATACATTACATGTTTAATATATATATAGGAAATAGGATTGAATGATGAAATCAATTCCATCTGTTTGCTTGACGGTGTCTCCTAACCTGTTGTAACCCGCTAATGAACTTGTGGGCATTTGCCATTTCTGATGCAGCTAAAATTTCTGCCTCTGATGCAATTCCATCCTTTCCGTATGCAATGTTTGCACGTATTGTGTCGTTAAACAGGACAGGTTCCTGGCTCACCAGACCCATCTGCTGCCTGAGCCATTTCAATTTCAACCTTTGAATCTCAATTCCGTCTAGAGTAATATGACCTGAATCAGGATCGTAAAATCTTTGCAACAATGCTATCACTGTTGATTTCCCGCATCCACTTTCTCCCACCAGAGCTACCGTCTGATAAGATTAGATTCACAACACAACAATAACACAATTTGGAGCTGAAATTGTACGAATGCCCCCTTCTAAAATAGAGCTTTTAAAAAAATATACATATGGAAAGATAGAATTTCACCTTGCCACTATGAATGGTCAAATTGAGGTCACAGAAAATCTGAACATATGGAAAGATAGAATTTTACCTTGCCACTATGAATAGTCAAATTGAGGTCACAGAAAATCTGAACATCTGGCCTAGTTGAGTACTTGAAGCTTATGTGCCGAAGCTCAATTTCTCCCTTTACACTCTCTAAAGTCATCCCGGACTCATCATTTGGGTCTATCTTAGACTTCCTGTCAAGAATAGCAAATATTGAAGCAGCAGCAGTCTTGGCTTTAGTAGAATCAGGGGCTAAGGAACTTGATTGAGAAATTCCAATGGCTGCCATGGTCAGAGCAAAGAAAACCTACGAGAGAGGCAACCTCACAACAATTGAATCAAAACTATCATTTAATTTCGTCATGTTTAGCTTTTGGATAATTATGGAATTGCAGTGTGTATACTCACGCGGAAAACATCTGAGAATGTTGTTTTACCATCCTCAACTAGCCGTGCTCCAGCATAGAAACTGACTGCGTAGGCACAAAACAGCAAGGCAAAAGACAGCCCAAAACCAATCCCACTAATCAATCCTTGCCTTATCCCTGTCTTCATAGGTCCTTCACATTTCTTTTTGTACAATTCCATCACTTTTTCTTCCGCACAGAAAGAAGCAACTGTTCTTATGCTTCCAACAGCATCATTGGCAACTTGGCTTGCTTCTTCATACATCATCTACAACCATTTACATCGAACTCTATGAATTATTAGGGAACAAAATCTCAAGAAAGCCTTCTTTTAAAAAAATTAATTAATAGATCAATGAAAAACATGGCAAAATTGAAACATCTTTTGCCAGAATGGCTGCCGTCAGTGTGCAAGAGAGAAATTCTCTTTCAAATGGTAACTTCAAATTTTTAGAAGGTGGGGACACCTTATATACTCACGGCAGCCCTCAATCTTAAGTAATATTTATGGTGATAGCCTTTTCTTTCAAATTAGAAAATTCGACAGAATGTCGCAATTGTGAAACGTATGATAATGAGTTTAAAAGCAAACCTTTGCATCTGCACTGAACCCTGTCATGAACTTCAGTTGAACAAAACCATTCAATCCTATCAGAGGTATCAAAGCAAGGATAATTAGCGCCAGCTGCCAACTTGCTTGAAAAGCAATGGCCAATCCTGCAACTGCTGTTGCAGAGTCCTGAACAAGCTGACCAAGTGTATCTCCAACTAAAGCCCGTACAGTAGCTGCATCTGCAGAGAGCCTTGCTCCAATCGCTCCAGTTGAGTGCTCGACCTCATCAAACCAACCGATCTCCATGTGAACCACCTTTTCAAAACACATTGATCTGATCTTTTTTATCAACTTACAACCAGCCACAGAAAAGAAGAACGTCTGCATTGGATATACCAATAATGATACAAGTCCAAGGACAACAAACATGAGTGCCCAAAAATTTGAATTTTTCCTTAATTCATGAGGTGGCTCATAAAACGTTTTAATCACAGTTGAAAGAAGTAGACCAAAAATTGGAAATATTGAGCCATTAACAATTGCAGCTATAGTTCCTGCTATAAGCACAGGAACCTCTGGTTTGTTGAGATAGGCAAGTCGTCGCAGTGGGACTTTCGGAGGCTTGTCTGACGGTTGTAGATACGAGGCTTCAGCTTCTGTTAATGCAGTTTCAGGAACATTGAAACCTGTAGGTAGACCAAATGAAACTGAATGGTGGCGGCTGCTATTTCCTGCCCCAGAGGATCCACGACTTATGGAACGTAGGAATGACATCCGTTGACTTGACTGCCTACTCGATTCGATAATAGATTCTGATTTGTCTTGGTCCACTACAACTTGTTTAGAATCTTTGTTCACTTCCTGTAATCTTATAAGCTGATAGTATGCTCCTTCTGGATCCTTGAGTAGTTCTGAGTGTGAGCCTGATCAATTAACACATACGATACTAAACATAATGAATATTTCTTTATCACAACTATGACACATATTTTGAAGGAAGGAAATAAGGAGTTTTGATTCAGAAACTAAATTATTGCCTAGAAATTTCTAAACTGTGGGAATTATAAGGAAAACATTATGAATAAGGTAAAAAAATATTGAGTGACTTTACGTTGGAAAAGTTTTAACCATGTTTACATCAGAATTATTTTGGCGTTTGGAAATTTTTTCAAAATTTCACAATAAGCAGGAGGAGAAAGTATGAAAGAAGCAATTTGTTTTTATGAGAAATACATTTTATGGTGTTTTTTTACTCTTCAATTTGTCAACAAATTAGCAATGATACTGATAAGATTACCCTTTTCAACTATCTGCCCTTGCTGAATCACTGCAATCATGTTGGCATTCCTCACTGTGCTCAAGCGATGGGCAACAATGACAGTAGCTCTGTTGACCATTATCCTGTCTAATGCTTCTTGGACAATCTTCTCAGATTCTGCATCTAGTGCACTTGTTGCTTCATCTAGGAGTAGAATTCGCGGGTCTTTTAGTATAGCTCTGGCTATGGCAACTCTCTGCTTCTGTCCACCAGACAATTGAGTCCCATGCTCACCTACCATGGTGTCCAGTCCCTAAATCCAATATTTAAAATACAAAGGGAAAATAAAGAATTAACAAGCTTATGAAAGTGAATAGATAGTGTTAGGTTTTATTCTTGGCAATCCCGTTTGACAAAACTCCTTTCAGTTGTATTTGTTTTCGCACCTTTTATTTCAGTGAGGCTCTGCGTTCATTAGATGCGAATCCAACCCGAATCGTGCCTTTGCCAATTTCCATGGATCAAAACCGAGGTTGTAATAGGATCAAGTTTTCCTGATTTTCCAATTTTGGTCGTCCCGCTCGAGCGGGGATTGCAAGCTCACAGCATCTCTGTTTCGCCTGAAAAGTACTGGATGGTGTGATTCGACGCTCGAGCGTGGAAACTTCCACTCGAGCGTGAAGCCTATATGAATCACACAATTTTGAAGCCTCTGCTCGAGCGGAAATTCCCACGCTCGAGCGGACCGCACGAACACAGATTCTTGGATTTCTATAAGGAATTGGTTTTCTTCCAAAACTAGGATTACTTTGGTTTTCTATAAGTAGTTGGGTTTCTCCCAAAACTTGGATAAGTCCTCTAGATCTTCTTTTTGGGTTCTAAGGTTTATATCTGGGGATATTTTGCTAGTTTACTTTGATGTTTTGATTGAGTATTCAACTCCTGGTTTTAGAAGTTTACATCAAAGGATAGTTTGTTTAATTCCATACAAAAGAGAGAGTTGTTCTTCGGTGGATTCTGAAGAATTCGAGCCTGAAGCTTTGGTGGATTCCGGAGTGGCTCATCGTCAAGACAATTCCGAGGTGAAGACGGGGTTGGAAGAGACACATAGAGGTTGGTTCAATTCGGGCGTGGATTCGCTAGGTAATTGAGAGTATACCTGTGTAATTCTTTTATGTCTTCTTAGTGGATTGTTTTGTGGCTGTTGCCCATGGTTTTTTATCACAATTGGAGTTGTCCAATTGTGGTTTTTCCACGTTAAATCGTTGTGTCGATTTGTCTTGATTATTTGATTGGGATTGTTACATACTGCTTAAAATTGATAAATAATCACAAATCAACATCTAGGAGATTTTTAGATTTTTCAATTGGTATCAGAGCGGGTTGCTCGTTTGTTTTTTTAAAACTTTTGAGCCAGATCTTGTTTGATTTGTGATAATGGATTCAATTCGCGAGGAAAATTCTATGGTTCGACCACCCCTACTTGACGGATCCAATTATTCTTTTTGAAAAGCTCGGATGAGATTGTTTTTGAAATCTATAGATGAAAAAGTTTGGCAATCTATCATGAATGGGTGGACCGGACCAACAATTACCGTTGATGGAGTAACTTTCCCCAAACCAATTGAAAAGTGGGACACAATTGATTACCAAAATAGTAGCTGGAATAGTAAAACTATCAATTCTCTCTTTTGCGCTGTCACACCTGAAGAGTTTAGTCGTATTTGTAATTGTGAAGTCGCAAAAGAGGCTTGGGATATCTTACAAACCATTTATAAGGGCACTCCTTCTGTTAAACGCTTAAAACTTCAAAGGCTCACGTCTAGTTTCGAAAACCTTTCAATGAAAGATAGTGAGACATTTGATGAATTTTATGCGAAATTGAGTGACATTGTAAATTCCTGCTTCAATTTAGGTGAAAAAAATACCAGAATCCAAAGTTGTGGGAAAAATCTTGAGATCCTTGCCTGATCGGTTCCAACCAAAAGTTACGGCTATTGAGGAGGTTCAAAATGTTGACAACCTCAAGCTAGATCAGTTGGTTGGAAATTTCCAAACTTATGAGGCACATAGGAATTTCAAAAAGAAACAAAAAGATATTGCTTTTAGTAGTGCTCATAAAGTTAGACGTAGGAATTTCAAAAAGAAACAAAAAGATATTGCTTTTAGTAGTGCTCATAGAGTTGGAGAGGATTCTGATGAGGATTGTGAGATAGATTCTAAGATTACAGCTGCTTTTGTTAAACAATTTAAAAAATCTTTTTTGAAAAAGAATCCAAATCTTTTGGAATCTACTCATACTCATAAATCTAAAGGCAAAGATAAACTCAAAATTAATTCTATAGCCAAGAAGGAGAAAGGAAAGATACAAGGGAACTCTGAAAGAGTCCAATGCTATGAATGCCAAGGATTTGGCCACTTTGCTTCAGAATGCCCCACTTGTTTGAGGAAGAAGAAAGCCCTCGCTATCACTTGGGATGATGAATCAGAATCTGATGAAGATAAAAGTGACAATGAAGATCAAGGCGAAGAGGGACATAAACAATTCCTTACTTTCATAGTGGCTTCCGAAACTGAAGGATGAATAGAGTATCCGAAGAGGTCAGTTGAGAATGCCACTGATGATGAATCCTTGGAGAGTGAGGATGAAGAGCTTGAGTAAGCTTATGAAAAGTTGTATAAGGAGTCTCTTAAGTTATCCAAATTGAATGACAAACTCACTATGAAACTCACAGCATGTGAAAGTGAGAATGTCAAACTAAAGGAGGAGATTTCTGGGGCTAGGATTGATGCCATCAATATAGCTAATGATCGACAAGCTCTTTGTGCAAAACTCTTGACTTGTGAGACAGAGAGGAATGAGCTACAACAGATTTATGCAACATATGAAGAAAAAATTGAAACTCTCGAGATGTCTCAAGTTGCTTTGAAAGAACTAATGATCAAGAAAGAGGAATAACTCAAGTGTGCTATGGCTACCATTGTTCTTTGGAACAGAGGATCAAAGACTTTGGACAATATCATTGGGTCTTAACAAATTTGTACTGACAAGAGTGGCATTGGCTTTGGTGATAACAAAGAGCAAAAACAGAGTGCATCTACATCTCATGATACAAGAACTCAAAGAAAGGGAGAACAAAAAATTCAACGTAAGGATGGACTTTTCAGACTTCCTAGAGTTGGTAAGGTAAAAGAAAAGAAGGTACACCCTGTTTTTATTTGGCATCATTGTGGTATGTATGGTCATATTCGCCCTTATTGTTATAAGTTGCATGGGAGAGTGTATTTGCCTAGACCTAGAAATAAGAAGTTGGAAACCATGTCGAGATAGGTCCTCATTGAAAGGGAAGAGAACCACAATGTCAAGACACCACCGAAGAACCGCAATTCTTACAACTTTGTTCATACTAAAGTGGTTTGGGTGAGAAAACTTGACTTGTGTTAATTTGTTTATTCTTTTTAGTTTTTGAGTTTCTGTGTGTTTTTTTTTTTTGATTAATTTTATGTGTGCTTGTTCGTTTTCTGTCTTGCTTTGTTTTAAAAAAAATTGAAAAATCTAGAAATTCCCTAGATGTTGATTTGTGATTGAAAGGGAGATTTATGATCTGGTTTGGGCCGTGATAATGGCCAGACAGATTTGGGCCGGACAGATTTGGCCGAACAAGGTTGGGTCGTGGTAACACGGCCCCATCCTTAGAGGTTTTGCTCGGATAAGGGAAGGCGTGGTTGGACCGGGCTGGTCATTACTCATTTTGGAGTGTGAGTTTTTTTGATTAGTATGTCTCATTCTGTACACACTCTTGGATTAGCAAATTTTGGAGTCTTCCGCCTTAGTGATTATTTTTTTATGGACTTCTGCATTGTATCTTTTGCTTTTCTAGAGGAATTGACCTATACTAGCATATCATGGGTGATGTTGAGTCTCTTAACTACCTTCCATCTTTTTGTACCTCCACGGTTTTCCCCTCAATTGTTTGCAATCTAGCCATGAGGAAAAGGCTACCTCAGAGTCACTAACCAGGCCATCTTTATTGTATCCATACTTCTCTGGTTCGGTTTCCATACTCTTAAGTGTGTCAGCCGCCAATGATTGTGCAAAAGAAAAAGAAAAAGAAAAAGAAAAAGAAAAAGAAAAAATATGCAAAAGAAAGAAAAAATATGCAAAAGAAAGAAAAAATGTGCAAAAGAAAGAAAGAAAAAAAAAGAAAAGATTCATTGATTGAGGGAGAGCTTTCGCCTTTACTCACCAAATACTCCTTGATTCCTAGTGGTTTGACTTTCCTTTGTTGTGCTTAGATTCTCTTGTCGGAGGTCCAGCTTTCATATCACTATTAGGATTGAATCTAGTGTTTGTCGAACTCCAAGAGTCGCACATACACTTTTCTCATGGGATCTATGCTTTTCACATAATACATCACTTTCTTTCATGAGGAATTTTCTACAGACTGTGCACATTGTGTTTACTAGTAATTGTGTTTCTTGGATAATCTTGTGTGTTTTAAGGTACAAATCTGAAATTCCTTGCTTGCTCCACCATATTATTTTTGTCGTTTTCTTCTTGTTCACTGTTTTCAGTGTTTGTGGTTGCTTTTAGTGAGAGGGAGTTTGGTTCATCTTGACTTGGGTTGGTTTATGATCTTGCTTTTGTTGTTTGAGAGTTGTTTTTCATGAGTCTTAGTTTTCATCTATTCATGTTTTCCATCTCATGTTTTAAGATAATCGTGTCATATGTCTATTGCTTTTTCATATACTCTTGTGGGACTAATAGTTGTTTTGGAGATTGTGGCACTAATAACTGTTTTACAGATCATGACCTTGAGGAAGAAGTTGGCTTTTGTTGGCTGTAATGGGTTGGGGTGTTTAGGATTTTATTTGTTAGGTGTGTTTTGTCACGGCATTGCCAAAGGGGAAGATTGTTAGGTTTTATTCTTGGCAACCCCGTTTGACAAAACTCCTTTCAGTTGTATTTGTTTTCGCACCTTTTATTTCAGTGAGGCTATACGTTTATTAGATGCGAATCCAACCCGAATCGTGCCTTTGTCAATTTCCATGGATCAAAACTGAGGTTGTAATAGGATCAAGTTTTCCTGATTTTCCAATTTTGGTCGTCCCGCTCGAGCGGGAAAGTGACGCTCGAGCGGGGATTGCAAGCTCACAGCATCTCTGTTTCGCCTGAAAAGTACTGGATGGTGTGATTCGACGCTCGAGCGTGGAAACTTCCGCTCGAGCGTGAAGCCTATATGAATCACACAATTTTGAAGCCTCTGCTCGAGCGGAAATTCCCACGCTCGAGCGGACCGCGCAAACACAGATTCTTGGATTTCTATAAGGAATTGGTTTTCTTCCAAAACTAGGATTACTTTGGTTTTCTATAAGTAGTTGGGTTTCTCCCAAAACTTGGATAAGTCCTCCAGATCTTCTTTTTGAGTTTTAAGGTTTATATTTGGAGATATTTTGCTAGTTTACTTTGATGTTTTGATTGAGTATTCAACTCATGATTTTAGAAGTTTACATCAAAGGATAGTTTGTTTAATTCCATACAAAAGAGAGAGTTGTTCTTCGGTGGATTCTGAAGAATTCGAGCCTGAAGCTTTGGTGGATTCCGGAGTGGCTCATCGTCAAGACAATTCCGAGGCGAAGACGGGGTTGGAAGAGACATATAGAGGTTGGTTCAATTCGGACGTGGATTCGCTAGGTAATTGAGAGTATACCTGTGCAATTCCTTTATATCTTCTTAGTGGATTGTTTTGTGGCAGTTGCCCATGATTTTTTATCACAATTGGAGTTGTCCAATTGTGGTTTTTCCATGTTAAATCGTTGTGTCGATTTGTCTTGATTGTTTGATTGAGATTGTTATATACGGCTTAAAATTGATATATAATCACAAATCAATATCTAGGAGATTTCTAGATTTTTCAGATAGCGTACATAAGAAAGAAAGTAATCAAGGGTAAAGAACTTCAAACCTGAGGCAGTTTATCAATGAATTTAGCAGCATTGGCTAGCTCAGCTGCTGCTTTAATCTCTTCAGTGGTTGCACCATGCTTCCCATAGGCAATATTGTCCTTGATGCTGCACGTAAACAACACAGGCTCTTGGCTTACCAGACCAATTTTCCCCCTAATCCAGTTTAGCTGGAACTCTTTGAGATTAATACCATCTATAAGAACTTCACCAGCTTGTGGATCATAAAATCTCTCTATCAGACTGATTACTGTTGACTTTCCGCTTCCACTCTGTCCAACCAAAGCTGTTGTTGTGCCACTAGGGATGAAAAGTGAAAATCCACTGAATATTTGCTCATCTGGCCTAGCTGGATAACTAAAATACACATTCCTTAGCTCTATATCCCCACGAATGTCATCTACTTGTTTTCCACTAGTGTCATATGCATCTATCTCTGGCTTCCTAGCTATAGTCTCAAACATCTTGAATGCTGCAGCTTGACCTGCGGCAAATGCACTCATACAAGGTGATGCTTGCCCAAGTGACCTGAAACAGACATTACAAAAAAAAGCTGATTGTATAAATGAATGAATTTATAACATTTTCCTATTTAGTTTGAGAGAAAGTTACTAGGAAAATGGTTTACAAGTAAGCAGAACCCACATGGAACCACTCAACACAGCGACAATTACATTTAGCACTTCACCTCCGGTATATCCCTTTTCCAAAATCATCTTTGCACCAAACCATATAGCCAAAGAATAAGTGCTGAATGCGACAAACATAACTGCTCCGAAACCAAATCCAGCAGCCAAGCCTTCTTGAACACCTGACTTGTAAGCATGTACAAGAGATTTGTTGTAATTAATTACAGCTTGCCTCTCCCCAGTAAATGATGCAACCTAAGATACAGGAAACACAAAGGTGAACATAACCGATTGTAGAAAGCAAAACAAACAAAACAAATTAATAAACGTGTCTAAGTTTATGAATCGAGATGCATGGATTAGTTAGTGACATACAGTTCTAATTGAGCCAATAGTCTGTTCAACTACAGTTGCGGCTTTGGCATAAGCATGTTGTGCATGGGATGCCATTTTGGATACAATGATAGCGGTGGCTCCACCAGCTATTACAAGTGCAGGAATACTGGATAACAGGACAAGTGTAAGAAGCCACCCCTTGATTAATGCTATCACAAACCCTCCCAAAAATGTGGACAACAGTTGTGTAAATTTTCCAACCTGCAATTCATCAAAACAAAAGATGCAAGAGAATCTTTATACGTGTGTGTGTTTGTTGTTTGAGTTGAGTTGGTGGTGGTACCTTCTCACCCATAGCATCCTGAATGAGAACAGTGTCACCTGACATCCGACCGACAACTTCACCAGTATTGGTTTCCTTGTCAAAGAAAGCAACATCTTGTCTCATTATAGTTTTCAAATAAAGACTCCTTATTCTTGCTGCCTGTCGCTCTCCCGTTACCATCCAGCAAGCCACCTCTATCAAAAACAATTAACAACACACACAAAAACAGTTTTACAGTTTTTTGTTTAAAAAATATTAGTGGTGAATGGCAATATCACAATAATAATAATACTCCTTAAGGAGGTTGGATTTGGATGCACTTACGGAGAAATGATGCCACACCGGCCCCCAATGCTAAATAGACAAATTTCAGTGATACCTACGATGTAATCAAGTTATTAACTAACTACTTAATGACATTTTGCATTCCACTATATCAGGAAAAATGAGAGAGAGAGAGAGAGAGAGAGAGAGAGAGAGGAGATATTTCTCAAATTACTAAGAAATATTAACTTCACATTAAAATTTAAATCAATTAGCAATCAAGCTTCCTTAAATAAAAGTGTGCTACTGGAGTAGAAGATTGAAAAGTACACAATATAGAAAACTGTTAATTTCAATTGCGAATTTTTCCCATGATAGCTGGCTTAGCAATGATGTGAAATAAAACATAAATGAGAGAGAAAAATGGAGTGAATTTTGTATTGTATTGTATTTTTGTTTGTTGTTACCTGAGAAACAACTCGAACCACTTGTTTGTTGTTTTGGTTTTGTCCAAAAGAATCAATTAATTGACCCAAAAGAACAGTCATGAGGGGCATGCATATACCATTCCCAACAGCACCAATTGTACCAAAGAGCATCAACACAACATCTGCAGAGTCTGCAAAAGCGAAGAGCTTGAAAAAAGGAACAGTGTTTGCGTTTGCGTTTGTGTTCGTGTTGGTGTTGGTGCTGCCGGAACTTGATGGTGTGCCGGCGTCAGTGGTGGCCTCTGCCTCTGTTTCAACTGTAAGGCTTCTTGATGTGATGGCCTCTTCCTTCCCCTTCCTCTTCCCCTTCCCCTCCGCCGCCTCCTGCAATTCCAACCCATTCTCCCCTGCCATATTACCAACAACTTCTTCTTCTTCTTCAATCAAATTCAATACTATATTTTACATTCTGAAAAATTAATTTTTAGTACAAAATTTCAGTCGCAGTCAGAAGGAATATTGATGCTGGGATGTCCTTGATTAGCTGCAAATAAGGAGCAAGCTGAAAAGAGTCGGACCAGTGAGGAGGGACGTTGAATAATAATAATAAAAGATCCAATAACAGCAGAAAAAACAACAAAAAACAATAAAAGATTCAATAGACCGATGAGATATTTGATTCTCTCAAGATCAAAATGTGTGAGAGTGTGTGAGTGACAGATGGGTACGAAAAAAAAAAAAAAAAGCTGAAAATGGAATGATCGATGAGACGCCTGGCAAGCATAAACTTAACCTTGTCGGTTGGTTTCTCGATATCTGATAAAAATGTGTTTTTTTCCCACGCTTTTCTCTCTCTTTTTGGGATGGGACTGGGACTGGGACTGGAGAGCGGGTGGGATCTGAGATTTTCTTATGTAGAAAGAAGCAATTGTTTGTTGTGGTAGTATATGTATGTATCATGTATGTATGTACGTACAACTAACTCCTTTCCTCAAGATTCAGTTCTGTACAATATTGCTAATATTAGTCTGCAAGTATTTATAGATAGGGACAATATACTTTGGGAATAGTAAATAAATACATCCCCATGTGAGTTTTCTTGAAGAGCAAGGCCACGAATTTCCGTGATTTTTTTATGCTGTGTTTGGTTGGGAGTTTGAGGAGGAATTTGGAAAGAAAAATGAAAAAAGTAGGTGAAATGTGAATAAAGTATGTTTATATTTCATCTATTTTCACACACATTTTCTTTTTTCCTTTCCAAATCCCTTTCTAAATTCCCTAACCAAACACAGTATTAAAGAATAACAAAAAAATGCTATGAATTCGTTCTTATTCCTTCATAATTTATCTTAAATGTATTTATGTGGTAAGAATTAAATTTATAAAGTATGACTTCATGAGTAAAATAAATTTAAATCATTCACTGTATTTAGTTTTAATTTTTTAAAAATTAAGTTTTTTAATTTTTTTAATTTTAGTGAATATTTTTAAAATTTTAAATAAATTTTTTTTTTACTTTTTTAGATACACCTTACTTAAATATATTCAAAAAGTAAAATATTTATAAAAAAATCAATAAATACACAAGAATATGAAAAATGTATTGAATTCTCGCAATTTTTTTTTATATTTTTTATATTTAGTGAATTTTTTAAAGATTTTTTTCACAAATATTATACTTTTTAAGTATATTTATGTTAGGTGTATCTAAAAATTAAAAAATACTTTGAATATTAAAAAATTCAGTAAAAATAAAAAAATATGAAAAATAAAAAATTTTAATTTTCTAAAAAATAAATCTTGAAAAATCAAACCAAACAAATTGAGTAATTTTATTTTAAAATAAATTCTGACTTTATAAGCCTATGTTTGGGAAGAGGCTTTTTGGGCTTTTTTTGACTAAAATAGCCACAAAAGACAAAATATGCTATTTTAGCCGCAACAAACAAAACATCACATCCAACTCATAATCATTACTCTTTTCTCAGAAAAAAAAGTCAAAAAAGTCAAAAAACTCTTTCCAAATCAAACTTTTTAACCTAAACTAAAATAATTAAAAAAGTCAAAAAATAAAAAATTAACCCACTTTCAAACGAAACCTAAATATGTCTGAATTTGTAATGTCGTTGAAAGAATAATGAATCAACCCACTCCACGCTACCACCCACTCGTCTCGTCTCCTATACTAAAAAGTCAAAACGCCTCCACCATCTATTCCTTCACTTTCACACAATATTATACACCCACTCTTTTCAATTTCTTTCATTTCTTTCTTCTTTAGTATTTCTTTTTGGGTTTAATTTTATAATGTCGTTGAAAGAATAATGAATCAACCCACTCCACGCTACCACCCACTCGTCTCGTCTCCTATACTAAAAAGTCAAAACGCCTCCTCCATCTATTCCTTCACTTTCACACAATATTATACACCCACTCTTTTCAATTTCTTTCATTTCTTTCTTCTTTAGTATTTCTTTCTGGGTTTAATTTTAATTTTTTAGATTTAATTTTTTAAAAATTAAATTTTTTTTAGTGAATATTTTTTAAATTTTAAGTAATTTTTTTATTTTTTTAGATACATATTACTTAGATATATTTAAAAAGTAAAATATATATATAAAAATATTTTAAAAAATCAATAAATATATAAGAATACGAAAATATATTAAATTTTCATATTTGTTTTTATATTTTTGGTATTTAATGAATTCTTTAAAGAATTTTTTCATAAATATTATAATTTTTAAGTATATTTATGTTAAATGTATCTAAAAATTAAAAAAATTACTTAAAATATTAAAAAAATTCTGTGAAAATAAAAAAATATGAAAAAAAAATTTTAATTTTTAAAAGTATAAATCCTAGAAAATGAAACCAAAGAAGTTAGTGTTTTGGAAAGTTAGTAAAAAATTAATTTTTTGACATTTTTAATGATTTTTTTGACAAAAAAGTTAGTTTTTTTTTTAACTAAAAAAGCTGATTTTTTTGTGTAACTTTAAAGAGTCAAAAAAATAGACTTTTTTAACTTGTTGCCAAAAGACCCCAACTATTTTGCCATTTGCAATTAAAATAACACTTCTTATGCTGTGTTTGGTTGGGGAGTTTGAGAAAGGATTTGGAAAAAAAAATAAAAAAGAATTGTGAAATGTGAATAAAATATACTTATATTTCACTTAATTTCACATACTATTTTTCTTTCTCTTTTTAAATCTCTCTAAATCTTCCAACCAAACACAACGTTAGTTTGAGTTCCAAACTGTCAACCAATTTTTTAATTTGTTGTTTACATCATCCATCATAATGCTACTTTATTCGTATATACAGCAATCTAAGCTAAGCAATGTGGAAACTTTCATGATGGAGCGCCGCTGCTTCATCATCCTAATGATGATGCTTTATTAGTGGGGAGTGTATTTTCAGTGGTTAACATCTTAGAATATTTTTATGTTTTTAAGGTTTATTTTGTGTTTTTGTTTTGACAATTTAAATTATTTATATTAAATATAAAAATTTATATTTATTTGATAATTATAAGCATATGATTTTATTTTAAAAAATGTTTACCCTCAATAAAATTTTTATAATTTTACTCATAATGATATTAAATATTAGAGTGAACTAATAGAGGTCAATTTTTAATTTGTCACATACTCAATTATGAGAGATTTTATTTCTTACCATATTATTATAGGTGTATTTGGAGATCTTAAATGTAGATCTCTAATATTACTCTTTTATTTTATTATGATTATTAATTTATATGTAGTTTTTGCCAGAAATCTAGTACCAAATTATATGAAAAATATAATTTAAAAATATATAAACGCTTTTTTTAGGCAAAACAAAAAATGAAATAAATTGACAAAATAACGTAACAAAACTTACAGTACATAAATAGATAAAACCTGATCGAGTCGAGTGTGTGACACTCTTTACTTAAGACAGATTCGTCCTCCTACCGGTGCTTGCTTAGGATTCAATGGACGTTTGTCTCCTAGGATACAACGATCAATGTCTTGCACTAGCAGTACTACTATTGCAAGCCTAGCAAACTTCGCTGTACAAGTACTCTCTTTATAGGAAAATTAGACGTAGGAAATATGAAGAATAAATGCAAAGTGAATAAGAAATGACAATTCTCTATATCAATTGAAGTGAGGGGAATAGAATTTATAGATTCCTTCATGGCTCTTCAGAAAAGTTGTGACCCTTTAAAAAGACACACCCTTTCCATCTCAAGAGACACAACCATTGGAGTAAATTCTAATTCAAATTTTCCAACAATCCCCCGCATGAATAAAATTTACAGAAAGGACATGCAACAACATGCAGACAAAGAGAGGGTATATTAAGGAAATACTCTGCATCGGGATGGGTAGCTTTTGGCTTTGAACCTTTCCTAGTGAAAGCCTATCGGACTAACTAGCTAATCAGTGGACGTGATGTCTTGAATTGTTCAGCCGTTTGTGTAAGCCAAGACAATAAAATTTACACAGAATATCTCTAGACACAGTTTAATTCTCACGGTTGTGCCCGTTTTGGCCTTGGGCATCTTCTGGTATTTTATGAGTGCTTTAGAAAATTTAGCCTTATGAATTCTCATAGAAGCGGCCCCTTAACACTCATATAGGTGATCTTTATTTCGAGTCTCTTAAATACTCCTATTGAAAGATACCCCTCTAGGGTTTTCAAGATATAAGTGATTATTAAAAGCATAGCTTACCCTAAGACCCCTACATACAACACATGTTGCAGATATTACTCTCATCATAGAAATGGATAGAGATGGACTCCTTTAGTGTTTTCTGGTGAGCCACACATAACTTAGTTGTCCCTTTGAACTTAGTTCTTGGGATCTCCAATCATCTAAGTAGGGTTGCCATTATGACGACTCTAATATAATAGGCTTTAATCACATTCCCATCGATGAACTTTCCCTCATTTGCTCTCTGGTCAAACCTTTTGTTTAGCGGCCGCTATTTTTCATTTAACCTTCTCAGTTATATATCTTTGAGTAATTTATGGATCCATTATATTATCCTTAGACAATATTCACAACTGAAAGTAAATGTCCCACGGTATTAAGTCTTTGATTAAATCGAGACTTACCGTTACTTTATGTCACTCCCATTTTCAAATTTAAATAATAAACATAAAGTTGTTCTTTAGGAGTTAATGAAACCATTTTTTGCTTCTACTCTAACTTTGTCCTGCAGAAAGAATTAAGATTCTTTGTGGAACTATAATTGAAACCGTTACTTTGGTAAAATCCTCCAAGCACCCCCACATTTTAAGCATTCTAAGGAAACTTAATTTCTCTTGCTGATGTATGATTACACAAAAATATTAATACACCCCCACAATTCTGAGGTAAATCAGAATATATCATTATTGGCGTGCTTGAACCAAATAACCAGATGTAAATTGCTTTGTGAATATAATCCCAATACTAATTTTTCTAAAATACAATTAGGCTTCATAACTTGCTTTTGCAGTACAAAGAAGAAATGACTAATACCGGTTGTGACCACAACACTTTGTCAAATAACATTTCTTTAGCTATGCATTATTTCTTTTTGTTTACTGCAACCCTTAATTCCAATCTCAACATGGAATATAGATATCACTGTATAATTATATTTACATCTTATTTGTCTTATTCAGTATTGGTGACTTCGCCGACAATTACCAAAGCGTCTTTCACCCATGAAATATTTTAACTAATATAATATTTCATTACGTAGTTATTGGTCACCACACCAATTTCAGTCATTATTCCAAAGAATAATTAGAATTCCTCTTATGTCAAAACACGTAAGCTCACATTTTTATCAACACTTTGATAAATGATTGACATCTGTGGGGATATGGTTTGGAAATACTCTTTTGACCCACTGGGACGCTCGAGATCCTCAACTGACAACCTGAAAAGGAATAAACACTCTGATCGGGGGTACCGGAATTAGCACTCCGA